ATCCGACCAGCAGGGAGCACATAACAGCCTGGAAACCCAAAGGAATGAGGCCACAAATACCTCCAAAAGGAACGAAGAGCAGCACACCGGATCGGATCCACCCAAGAACGGAGCCCCCAACTCGGACACAAGTAACAAAGAGATGGCAGATAAGGACCAGAATGGCATGAATGTGTCTAGCCCAGGTAGCAGCATGGAGAGGCAGACTGGTGGCCAGGCTGGCCAGAGTGGCGGTGGCCAAGTCAACACTCAGAGTGATGGTGGCCAGAGTGTCCAAGGCAACAACACAAGTTACCAAACCAACCAAGAAGGCGGCGGTGCTGGTAACCAGGCCAACAGCCACAGCGGGCGGCGACCACCAGAACCAGGGCGGCGACCACCAGAATCAGGGCGGCGACCACCAGAACCGCGACAAGAACCAGGACGGCAATGACAAGAACCAGGACGGCAACCAGGACAGCAGCAACAAGAACCAGGAGGGCAACCACCAGGACCAGGGTAATAACAGGAACGAGGGCAACAACCAGGGCAGCGACAGCAACAACCAGGACAGCAAGAACCAGAACCAGGACAGCAGCCAGGGCAGCAACAACGCAAACCAGGGCAACAACCAGGGCAGCAACACCGAGAACGGGGACAGCAACACCAAGAACGAGGGCAACAACCAGGGCAGTAACGGCAGTAACCAGGACAACAACCAGGGCAGCAACAACGCAAACCAGGGCAGCAACAACGAGAACGAGGGCAACAACCAGGGCAGTAACGTCAATAACCAGGACAACAACCAGGGCAGTAACGGCAATAACCAGGGCAACAACCAGGGCAGCAGCACCGAGAACCAGGGCAGCAGCACCGAGAATCGGGACAGCAACACCGAGAATCGGGACAGCAACACCGAGAATCGGGCCAGCAACACCGAGAATCGGGACAGCAACACCGAGAACCAGGGCAGCAAAACGGGCAGCAACACCGAGAACCGGGACAGCAACACCGAGAATCAGGGCAGCAACACCGAGAACCGGGACAGCAACACCGAGAACCGGGGCACCAACACCGACAACCGGAACAGCAACACCGAGAATCAGGGCAGCAACACCGAGAACCGGGACAGCAACACCGAGAATCAGGGCAGCAACGGCAAGAACCAGGGCAGTAATGACGATAACCAGGCCAACAACCAGGGTAATCAGATGGGCTCATCGAAGGACAAAAATGCATCACCACAATCAACTTCCTCCGCTAATGAGGGCAACAACCTTTTAGACAATGGAGAAAGCCCTGGAGAGGAAGAGGATGGGGCTAAAGAAGGCAACGATGCCTCCTCCTTTAATGAGAGAGAGAAGAGCATCCCTTCTCCTCCCAGGGACCAGTCAGAGAGCAGCCACTTCTTCGCCTATCTGGTGACCACGGCGATTGTCGTTGCCGCCTTATACGTGGCGTATCACAACAAACGCAAGGTGAGTGGCTGTGCTCCTTACCCAGGCTCGACATCTCCCCTGCGGTTTAGGAGTTTTCCTTTCCTCTCGCCGGTCACCGCTGCAGATTGGGACCTGCTCGGTTGAAGACTTTTCCCCTCACCCTGATTTTTGCTTCTTGCCAATACCTCCCGCTTGCTGCATGGCGTGGGTTTGGTTATTCGAGCCGTGGGAGGAGCAGAGGGGGTGTTGTAACTAGGAAAGGGGTCAAATCTCTATGGAAATTGGGTGGCCTCGGCTCTAGCGGTTATTTTCAGCTGAGAGAGGTGAAAAGGAAAAGATGTCTGGAGTTACCCTGTCTTTTCTCGCTGACAATGAGTTTTCTATAGCAGGTTGCAGAAGACTTGTCCTTAAATAGTCTTGCATGGGGCGATGCAGCTCAAATGATATAACTGTCTTTTGCTGGTTTTTTTCTCCTCCTGTAAAGCTATTTTTGAGGTAGGAGAAAGAAAACAAATTCTTATTGTTTTCTGCATGTTAAGCAAACCTCATTATTGCCTGCTTTTGATCTGAGCAGGGTTTATATTTTGGCATTTATTTCTTTCGAGTGCTTTTTCAAATGAAACGTGGTCACTAGAAGGAGGTAAGTGACGCTGGTCGTTGCCCATTAGAAAGCGCCTGCGTTTGAAGTGAGAAAAAGCTTATTTGGTCGCTACTGTCACACTCACCTTGTCCCCACTTCTCTTTCCAAAGATCATTGCTTTTGCTCTGGAAGGGAAAAGATCGAAAAGCGGTCGACGGCCCAAATCTGGCGATTATCAGAGACTGGATCAAAAGGTAAGATCTACCCGAAACGGGTTCTTCCTCACCCCGGGAGCCGGCCAGGCAGGGAGAAGGGACTGCGGTGCCTGGTGTATGCTGTAAATGCACTATATTGGCTTTTCATATATAGAAATGGTCACAAAGCCCCTACTTGGTTGGTATTGGAAAGTGTTGGGGTTTTTTAGCAAAAACCCCGCTCTTAGTCTGGAAATGGGGTTTTGCCAGAAAATGGAAGCAATAATGCTGAGAAATGGTGGCAGAGAGGGCTAAAGCAGAGCAGAATTTGTGAGTCTCGAGCTCAGGAGTGGTTAAGAATAGTTTGTCACTGACTCAAATGACTTTTTCAAAGAAGTTCTTAGCAGGGGAAGGGTAGGATTCGGGGAGAATTCCCTTTGTTCTTCCCCTTGAAACTTTTTTCACCTGTTGTCCTTGAAGTCAGACGTGTCTGTAGTTATTTTCTGCAATGGGTAGAGGAGGCAACAAGGAAAGCAAATTTTTAAATGTTGAAAAAGCTAAGCTGAAACTTAATCTTTCAGAAGGCTGTCAGCGTTTGGGGCACCGTGACGATGGCCGTTTTCGAACGTCGTTGGGGATTTTGCATATAAAACTCAAGGCAGTGTCGTCCTCAGCTTGTTGTCAGCTCTGCCGCGCTGCAGTGCACCGTTGGGAGTGGAAGCTCAGTTCTCTCCCTTCCCGGATTGCAGCCGTGCCTGGCTGGGGAGCCCGTCTGGATGCCACCGAGACGATTTGCCTGCTTGAGCCTCCAGTCTTAGTCTCACCAATATTTTGGGAATTTGTTTCCCTTGCCAGGAATTCCCAGACTTGTCCCTGAGGCACAGTAAAACAGGCAGGCAGTTAGAAAGAGCTTGGTTTTATTTGAAAGCTCATCAGAGACACTCAGCCCGCTCAAACCCTAATGCTTTGTCAGAGTAGAAAAACAATGCTGAGCTTTTAAATTGTTTAAACCTTTCTTTTTGCCTTTCCAGATCTAGTTTCTTCCTCGGATGTTCAGTGGAATAATGACGGCTGGCGACGAAAATGCGGGAACACCCACCGACTCCCCTGCTGAAGCACTGTGCTGCCGTGTTCAGATTTCAGACAACAGGAAGAAGGGGAAATGCTTTTCGTTTTGCACCTGCACCTTGGTAACGTTAAACCTCTCACTTCCTCGAAACGCATTTCTCCTTTCCCAGCTGCCTGAAGATGAACTCGTTTTCTGCTTGGGTGTCTGGCTTCTAGCCTGTGACCCAGGAAAAGCCAGTCCCCAGCACTTGACAGAACTTTTGTGTCCAAATGAAGTGGAATTTGCCATCTACTGTACTGACGTCTCCTCTTTGGGGAGGGGGGAAAAAAAAAATCTGCCTGCGAAATGAGCCATCTGACTCTTCCCCTTCCAGAGCCATAGAGCTGCCTTTGTAACCAGCACAGTCTTGCTCGAGACACAGACGTTCTCCTCTTCTGTCCATTGTATTTGGATGCTAAAGTTCGGAGCGTGACTGATTGCACTGGTTTGGAAATGATCCGCCAAGGACTCTGATTTGATTTGATTTTTTTTTTTTTCCCCCCTCTCTCTCTGTGATGAAGACAATGTTAGATTTTAACATCTAGATTCTTTCTTTCATGCACATCTGTGGAAACGCTGGAGCAGTCTTTGGCCCTTGGGTTGTAGCTTAAACTTCCTCACCTGCATCTTATGCTCCACGCGGATCTCTTCCCTCGCAATCCCCAGAGTTCAGATGTTTGCACTAAAGGTGACAGTTGCGGTTTGATGCTGTGAAGGAGCGCAGGTTAGGCTTAGAAAGCTTCGTGCCAAATTGCCACGGTGTAGTTGTAGCAGACTTTTGCTTGGAAGATTGCTTTCCTGCCCCTTGTAAAATGTAGTTATGTGGTAACGTAAACTGTACGGTAATCTTGAAGTGTTTGGGATGAGTGAAACTTGCGGCCGTTCAAACCTCTTCCTCAAAAATGCCGTGTTGAGGCCCTGGAGTATCCAACTCCACTGAACGAGGCTCCGTCGGCTGTAGAGCTCGCTGCGATGGAGCCCTCGGTGTTGGCTCTTGCCGGAGAAGTGCCGCTTTCTTGCCCGGTGAAGAGGCGAGGTGGCTGCTGGTCCCCTGGGCTGCACAAGCCTTGGCAGCGCCTCTCGCCTTGGGAAACCGTTGTAGCCCGCGGCGCGGGCGCCGTCTTTTCTGCCTGTGAGTCACCGCGGGGCGTCTTCTCCCCGAGGCCACCTCCTGAGCAGGTGACCGACACGCGGAAGGGCTTACCGTACATTTTTTTTTTCTTCCGCGGCTCGGCCGGCCCCGGCTTCGAGGAGTTTTGTGTGGTTGAATGTACACGTAACCAGCTGCTTGTGGCTGAGCTGGTCACTTCGGTATTACTGTGGAGCACTTAAACTAGGGCCTGGGAGGTACTGGTTATATTTAAGGCTGCAAAACACGTCGATTCATGAGTTATAGCTGTGAGGTCGTTATTATTTTTGTAGTTCTACTCCAAAGATGTTTGTTTGAGACGGGACGTTTCTGAAGAGGGTGTGAAGTGTCTGCCTGGCTTGTGCTTTTGTTTTTTCCAATATGGGCAGAAAAAAATTGGTATGAGGCATCTAGAGCTCTTCACACGGGTACCTGTCTACGCCCGAAGCTGGTGCCAGCCGTACGTGAGTCACCCGCTCCGTGCACTTGCCGACTGACTGCACAGGAAGAATCCCGGTCGGGTTAACTTCCCTCCAGCTGGCTGCAAAAGCAACTTGTGGGATGAGGCCGGCCTTTTTCCAGCCTTCCCAAGGTTGTGAACAATTGGTAATCTGCCCTATGGTTGCTAAAGATAGTCATGTTTGACAGGGGCAAAGACGTTTCCTTGTCTGGACACGAAAACTACAGCTGTATTTTTTTTTTTTCCCTAGTGGTTCATTCCCCACGTTAGAGGGGAGAAGGGGCTTGACCCTCTCTTAAAAGAAAAATCCCCTTTTTTTTTTTTTTTTCCATTTGCTGGCTGTTAGCAAGCACAAAGAGGAGGAGAAAGTCCCTCTTGGCTTTAAATAGCTTTCAAGGTTTCCGTAGTAAACTTTTCTGATGCTAAAAGTACTTGCAGAAGCTATTTTGGAGAACGGGAGTGTGAGGTGGAGGGAAGAGAAAGGAAAACAAGTCTGGGAACATAACCCTTGGGGGGAAATGTGCCTTCTGAAAAGGGTGGGAACTCCTGCAACAAGACTCCACTGTTTCAGAGATCCCGTAGGATAAGTCTGAGGCTCGCTGTTGTGCCGCTGATTTATGGGCAGGATGCGGGGTGGGAGGTGGTGGCTTTTGTCTAATGACAGTGTGGGGGGAAAAAAAAACGTATTCCAACATGTGAAACACCATGTGCTTCTGAGCTGCTCGTTCCTGAATTTTTAGAGTTTTCGCGCTGTTTTCCTGCTTTGTCCTATTTTTTTTTTTTTTTTAATTGAAAAATAATTTACAAAGGGTTTTTTTCACCATCTGCTTGCTTTTCTACCCCGCGAGCTTTTTCAAATGCCTTTCGGCCCTCTGTCATTCCAAGCTGCGTTGGAAATCCCACCCCCGTTACCAGCAGTTAGCTCTCAACAGCAAGCCGAAGGGAGAGAGTTCTTTGGAGAGCAGGACCGTCGTACCTCAAACGTCTCGATCGTCAGGTTGGGCCGAGCACGAGCTCGTTCGTCAGGTTAACGAGGACGGCCCCCTCCGGGTTTGAGCTGTTGGTTTGCTCGGTGCCAGGCGTGGCTCTGGCAAAACAGAAGTGCCCGAGAAGTGCAGGGTTTGGGGAGAGGCAGAGCTGGTGCCGGGCTAACCCGGGGGGACTCCCCCCTAACTCTCCTCCTACCCCGCAGTTCTGAGGGCAGCGTCTGTCTGGCAACAGTCGCTGTAATTATCCGAGCTGCGTGAAACCTCTGGGAATGACTCCCGGTTTGTTGATTTTTATGGTATTTAAATTTATGCAACGTGTTTCAAATGGGTCAAGGTGCGCGTAACCTTTTCCCTTTGGACACAACATGTTTTTGAACGGATGGTATCTGTCGGTATTTAGGTTTTTTGCCGAATGTTACTACTTTTAGGCCAGCTGCCTTGCCGGTTTGAATCAGCAAATGATTTGTTTTTCTGCTGCAGTGAAATGCAACTTGCTTTGAAGGATCAGAATTTTTATATTTCTTTGTACCTTTTTTTCTGTGTGGTGAAGTAAATAAATGGATTTAAGAAAAATAAATAAGTTTTCACCTCTTTTTTTGTGCGTGTTCTTTTCCTGGTCTCCTTTGAAACCTGGTAACAACGGTTAGTTCCTCTTTGTGCCAAAAAAAAAAAAAAATGGTTTTAACAAAACCAGCGCTCTTTGAGCTGAGTGGTTTGTGCTCGAAGTTTTGCGTCCTCGATTTGCACATGCAAACTTGGTCCTTGCG